GGGGCGCGCGCGGCTGCTCGCGGCCCGCTTCGTTGCGATTTCGCCCGCCTCAGGAGGGGGGGGGAGGCGGTTGGGGTCGAGCGAGACGAGCATCCCGCGCGGCCGCGCGGTTCGCAGCTTCGTGGAAGGATTTCCCCCCCCTCCTTCGGAGGCGTTCGGGCGCGAAGGGGGCGGGGGCTGCGATGGCGGATCGCGCCCAGGTAACGCGAGCGACCCCGGCGGCGACCCTGGGGGACGGGGCGACGTGAAAAACGGATGGATGCGAATCCCCCGCAACGTCGGGCGACTCGTCGGGCTGCTTTGGAGGATCTTCCCGATGAGATTCCGCGCCGGCTCCGGGAGGTGGCGGGGGCAGTCGTAGCGGCAGGCTCGGATCCGGCGGTAAGTGGTATCGATGCTATCCGTCTGGAAAGGCGGCTGGCCGACAAGCAACGTGAAGAGAACGACGCCGAGAGACCAGATATCCGCCTCGAAGCTGTGGCCATGCCCTCGCCGATCGATAATCTCCGGTGCGATGTAATTCGGCGTCCCGCAGATCGTCCGTTTACGCTCGCCGTCGTAGAAGAGCTCCGCGGCGAGGCCGAAATCGCCGATCTTGACGGTTAAATTCCCATCCAGCATGATATTCCCGGGCTTTAGATCACGATGAATCACCCCTTCTTCGTGCATATACTCCATCGCCGAGAGGCACTGCAGCATCACGTACTGCGTCTCCGGCACCGTCAAAGGGCGGGCCTTTAGCAGATCCATCAGCGTTCCATTCTCGCATTTTTCTAACAAAATGTAGACGTAATGCTCATCCTTGAAAGTATGAAGAAAGCGAACAATATTTTCATGCTTCATACGACGGTGGATGGTGATCTCACTGTGCAGCTTTTGCAATGTTTTGGGATTCGAGAGTAGCGTGCGGTTGATCACCTTCACGGCGTAGCTCCCTTTCCCATCGGATACTTCATAGCACTTCGCAAAGCCCCCTTTCCCAAGCAGGCGGACGATGCGGAAGCTGTTAAGCTGACGACCGGTATCGGGGTCGATCTCCAAGATGTGCGTTCCCGCCTGAAAAGATGGCTTCGATGGGGGTGGCTGCAGCGCGGGAGCACGCTGCATCAGTCCCCCACTGCCCGCTTGTTGAACCATGCGAAACATAATAGACGGAGAGGTCCGTCTTTTTGTTTCCAATTATTCCCTCACCTCCAACTCTTCTTCAATACCACAATACCACGCTCTAAGCTTTCACAAGTATTTACAAGGCCGCCAATCGTGCTCGGTGCTGATAATGCCTCGTGTATGGCGCACAGGAACTGAGTGCGTGAGGAGTGAGAGAAATATCAGGGAAGGAATCAAATGGTTTGATTCTAAGAAGTGTTGAGAAACGCAATGACCAGAACAGCAAGAGTTCCAAACAGCAGTGAAAGCGTGTATACACCGCCTTGGCCTATTGGGGAAAAATGAAAATAGTAATAATGATAATAATAGTCGGATAAAAAGTATACTCAAGGGAATTAAATATAGTTTCGCTAGTGTGAATCTACACGAGGGAAGCAAAAATATTTTAAAATAAAATTTCAATAACCCAAGGGGGATCTAGCAAAACGTGTGCGTCTATACGTGTATGAAAAGAAAAAAGAAACAGAGGATTCAATAGTGCTAAGAAAAAGTGAAGATAAGGGCTATTATTCCTGCGTTTCTTTCTTTGTCTAAAAATCTATTTGTAGGTGATATGTACGGCTTATTCGTCTAACTTCTCAGAAAACAAACCATTCTAAATTAATGATAAGAGGGAGGAGAGAAAGGGAAGGTGTGTGTCAGGGGATGTAACACTCAAAAAGGTTACTGAGCGCCCGGATCCGGGGAGAGTAGAATTACAGGCAGTTCCGTAAGCGAGTAAATTTTAGTTAGTCCAAGGTGCAAAATACATGGGCAGGGAATATAAGCAGAATAATTCATTATTCGTTAGCTTTAGTTTCTCACATTTGTATCGCTATCAGAAACTCTGCAGGGCACCCTATTCCTCTAGAAGACCAAACATATCGGCATTCAAGATGAAATAACACCACCTCCGCACATTCTCTAGAATATCCTACCATTGACGCCAGACCCAATGGAGGTAAGCGCTCTTAGTGATTCTAAAAGCCGTCATTTGTGAGATTGGATACGCCTCTACCGTTTTTATGGAAGAAGAACTTGAGATTAGTTATGGGTAGCATTCGCGGAGGTCATTCCATATTAATAAATGTATAAGTGAGGAACGTAGAAAGTTAGGCATTAATTTTTTCCTCACTCTCTTTTTTTGTTGTTTTCAGGACACTTGGGTACTAAACCGTGGTGAAACACCTCGTGGGGTGTCTGCCCTCAAATGATTTTTCTTCCATTAATCAAATACGCACCTTGAGAAGTCCGTAATCAAGCAAGCGAACTCCCACAGCACCAGCTGATTCAAAGCACACGGCCGTACTCCAGAAAAAAAAGATGTGGTAGGCTGGAGCACCTCGACTCATCGCCATCCTACTTTACGCAATTCAGGATTCCATTTCATCCGGAATGGAGACCTCTATGCCGTTTAATTCCTCTGTCAGCCTAACCTGACAGGAAAGTCTCGGGGACTTCTCGTGGAGGCGGGCGCTAAATCCATCCTGTCGAGCCCCTCGTCCGACAGCTCCTCGCGGATTTACTGGTAGCTTTCCGAGGTGAAGATCACGTGGCAGGTGTTGCACACACAGCATCCTCAATATCCAGCTTCGCGATATCATGAACCGCCTCCATCAGCGTAATCCTCACATGGGGCCTTGATCCTCTTCATCTTGAATTCAACGAAGGTGTGGATGCAAATTTTGATTTCGTTCACGTTGCCAGGTGAACACACCCCCTCATTCGCAGTGGTGTCGTTGCTTTTTGAGCTTGTGGGAGCAGCCTCGTTGTTTCCATGGCTTGGATTTGATGGGGATGAGTTACTTGAGTGCGGTCGAAACGACGCCCACAAGGAAAACACTGAATTTCCATTGACCAACTTTCTCCATGGATATTGTGAGGATAGTAAGGTCCGTCTCCAGAACATACTACGCATCTTTTAAGCGTGGGGTTATCGTTGTTTACGTGCGCAGATTAGTAAAAAGGAAATACGATTCAAATTTCTTTCAATAATGTCAGATATTCAGCGCAACTCCTCCTTGGAAAACAAGGAAACAGTTCTCCAGCACGTGAGATCCTTAACGGGCGTTTCCCTTTTATGATTCCAGCCAGTGTTTGGAAAGGACTTCATGAGAGGAGAAAGAGACCGACCAGATATCCCCACCTGCGGGGCTTTACCGCCTTGCTATATTCACCTTCAAGAGCATAGACGGCATCCCATCGCTCCCCAGAGTCCTATTCTACCGGCTTTTTTTACGATCAACTCAGCGTTAAATCCTTCATAGCACTCGGTATTTCAATCTCCAGCCCATCATGCGCCTCTCGAAGGGTGATTTGACAAGCCAATCGAGACTCATCCCTTGGTTCCAAGGCCATATCCAAAACATCCATCTCCTGTTCGGAAGGGGGTGGGAGTTTTTTAAACCACCCTTCCGCGATATACACATGGCAGGTCGAGCACTGCATGCAGCCATCGCAGGTGCCCTCTAAGGCCATCCCCGCCACATCCCGCACGGCCTCCATGAGGGAAATCCCCACGGGCGCCTCAAAATCGCTCCTCCCCCCTGTCGGATCCTTGACGAAGATCTTCACCTTCCCCGGGGTGCTGTACAGACGAGGGCGTGGGAAAGCCGCGAACCGGACTCTCCGCCCGGAAACGTGTAACAATCGACGTATCATTTCAAAACTTAACTAAACCCATCCACAAGTGGTCTAGATGATGTGCTGCTTATCCTGTGAATTGATTTGTAGACAGGTCAAAGGGACACGTCGCACGAAAAAAAATTAGAGAAGAATTGGGGTTATAAAAGGAGACTTTATCGTAGCCCACAGATAAGGAGAATTCGAAGGCATTAGGCAAAATGTGCGGCATTCAATTACCACCATTGCTTACCTACTTGCATCATTTTATAGCCAACATGTGTTTGTGCCTCTAAACATACAAAAGCGTATTTTACGTTGTAAATGAGTTTTGGTAAAAGTGTAGTTAAAATTCCATAATTTACTTTTACTCTAAGAAAATATTCTTAAAGACTTTCCTCACAGCCTTGTCTTCCCTAGACGATGAGACCACAGATTTTACAATTTATCAAGCTTCATGTCTTGAAAATGATACAAGGAAGCCAAGGCTTTCCGTTTTAGTCATTACCTACACCTCCCCTACCGATTTTACTTACCATAGAAGGGAGGGTTTTAGCACTTCTTTTCTACTCAAGTCCATTCCACTTATGTAAAACGAATAGTTCTGAAATAGAAAAGCTATCAAAGGAATTAAGCATGGTAAGTCAATCTCAAATCAAGAGAAGGCACAATGGCGAGTGGGTTGATGGCGGAGGGAAGTTAACACTATCTCATAACAGCCTTCCACCCAGCTGGATAATATCATTAAGGAGTTGGAAGAGAACTTCTTCCCTTACCAGGGTCGCAAAGTGTAACTGAGATCAGATGGGAAAGATTAAACATCCATAGATGGATTATATAGATCAACATATGTTTGTACATACTTTTAGAGTTCTCTTTGTTCAGCTCATCCCACTCGGAAAGCATTAGAAGTTTAGATTGTCAGCACAAAACTACGCAACGCAGCATCCATGAAACCTAGGAAGCAAAAAAAAAAAAGGAATCCATCGCCCGTATCGTACTCTCTCTCTCCATGCCTGAGGTTCATTTGTTCATCATACCCATCGCAAGCATACACCTATCAATAATTTCATCCACCGTCCGCTCCTCCCCGCGGGGCACCCCATCGGGTTCCCGATTCCCACTCGCCACATCCCCTTTCGCATTCTCCGATTCCTTTTCGCTTTCTGCCGTGAGGTATCGCGTACCGGGCATGAGATAACTCGAGCGTTCACTCCCACTGCTCGCGCCGGAGCGTCTTGGTGGGGTGATTCGCCGTGGCGGTGCGATGAGCTGCGGTGTTTCGAACCACCCCGTGTGGAGCGGGGAGGTGGGAGAGGAAGAGGACGAGGGAAGAGCTCCGCTTCCTCTTCTGATCATTGGCCGCATCTGCTGCGCGCGCTCGAGTGGCATCCCCACGATATCATCCAACCGCTCCCGCTCCTCCTCCAGCTGCGAGGCGAGGATGGTGAGCTGCTCACGGGAAAGGCAAACCTCCCGGGCGTTGCGCTCCGTGATCGGGATCGCGGCGCTCCGCACGATCTCGCTGCGCGCCCGGAGCTCCGCCTGGACCTGCTCCCAGACGCTCGCCAGCTGCTCTTTCGGGAGCGGGCAGCTCAGCACGCCCTGCGCGAGAAGACCGCCGCCCTGCGCGCGCAACGGCCGCCCGCCTCCGCCGCCGCCCCCTCCTCCCGCTCTGCTTTCCTCGCCCCTTCTTCGTTCCCCCTCTCCATTCCCCGCCCGCTCCTCGCCGGCGAGGCGGCGGACAAAAGCCGCGGCGGTGGCGTCCTCGACCTCCCCAATCCGAATCGCCCGTCGGACGTCCAGGGAGGCGAAGCAGACGTCGCTCATCACCCGCACCGCGTGTTTGACGTCGAAACGAGGGTCGTACCCCGCGATCGCGCGCGCGCCGTAGGCCGGGGGCCGTGGAATAAAAATCACATCCCGCGCCGGGGGGTCGGACAAAAACGCAAGAAACGGTTCTCCCCCTTCCCCCACACGATAATAGAGCTCGCTAATGTGGTGCTGCCGCAACCACCAAGGGATGTTCCCGGTGTCCCGCATGAAAAGAATCATATCGTGCGTGATACACATATACGCGCCTTCTAATAAGACTTCCAAGGTGTTGGATTCCCCCACCCCGAGCAGATCGCCGCGCGTGAAGACGTAAAACACGGCTTTGTCCAGGGCCTTAAAGGTATGCCAAACGAGCATCGGGATGTGGGCGAAGGAGACGCCGTTACGGGGGTCGTACGGCGGCAACCCGCGATAGGGCCGCAGCATTAACTTATCATACCCCAACACACTCTGCAACACAAACCAAAACCGACGAAACTCGAGCTCTTCCCGACAACGAAGGGTGATTTTCTTCTTCGGATAGCCCCCATTAGGGGGGTTTGTGGGGGATTTGAGGGTTTGCGTGGGGTGGGGATCGGGGGTCGCCGCCGCGCCCGTTCGTCTCGCCCGCCGCCGCTCGTGCTCCATCTCCTCGAACTGATCGCGAATGGCCTCGAAAAGCTCCAACAGGTGATGCGGGTCTTTGATGAAGTCCTCGTCTTCGAGGGAGCAGCGTGGGTGGAGGGTGGTAAACCCGGCGGAGGGGCAAAGCAGCGGTCCGACCGGGGGAACCTCATCCTTGAGCAGCCGCCGCCCTTCGCCAAGGATTTTGATCTGAAAGAAGTCGTTCTCTCGCAAAGTGGGATCGTGGAGGTCGAATTTCCGTACCGTGGCGACGGGAACGATGTCAAAGACCTTCATTTTGCCTTCCCAACGCGCCCGATGCCAGAATGCAATTGGGCAGACCGCCGCCGCCACCGCCGCGGATTCCGATGATTCAACCTCCCGCGTGCGGCTTCCTCCCCGTCCGCCGGAAGTCTCCACCTCCGTCGAGGCCGACGACGCCGACGTGTGGTTGATGCGGTGGTTGTGGTGGTGGTCGTTGCTGCTCTCCTCGTTGATTGCCGCCACGGTTGCGTGGGGGTTGCTAGCATGCGGAGGGGGTTGAGTGGTACTGGCAAGGGACCACCCAAGGGGCTCTGTGTAGTACAAATAACGGCGTCTGGTATCAAAAGCAACTTCGCGAAGATGCCAATCCCCAAAGAATGATCTATTTTTCTTCTCAGCGTAGGTGTAAAACATGATTGCTTGGTTCACAAAAACAAATCAAATGGTTCATATCGAAATCTACTGTAAAAATGGAAGGAGGAGGAAAAAAGACGATGAACGGGTATCCTGTCAAAGAAGACAAGGTGAATGAAGCGAATAGGAAAACGCATTCTGAGAGGTCCAACACGTTACGCTTCAGTTGTATTTCACCATCTCTCCTGTATCCATAATTGCTAGTTCAACAATAGCAGCACGACAAGCCGCACAAGATTGTCTAATAATTAATAATTTGTTCCATTTAGCTAGGAGTCATTAACTCCTTTGATAGGATATCTTAAACGGCGCTAGCTTGCTTGCTTCACGGTCAAACAATATGATTATTTTTCCGTTTCTAAAATCACACAGTTCACTTCATTCCTATTCCTATTTTTGATAACACAAGTATATTACGCTTCAACGTTGTCGTGGCGTCAGAAATTGGGCTCAGAGATGCGTATTGGAAAATTCTAAGCTCATCCGTACAAAAATACGGAAAATTTTGTTTAACAACTCCCGAAAGAGAGTGGAATGAAAAAAAAAGAGTAAATGTCTTTAACCAAAATATTTATCGACTGATCAAGTAGTAGTAACAAGCAAATAAATGTATACATTGAATAGTGAAAAAAATCAGGATTATATAAAATATCACTTAATTTTGTACCCCATACCGGAAAATATAGATTATTTCTTGAACTTATTTTCGAATTACTGATTAAAAGGGATAGTTACCCTCCCCCCCCCTCTAGAATGCGATGAGTGCTCCAGCAAGAAAGCATGAAAAGAGACTCAACCCTAGAAAAAAAAAACGAACAACCTTTTCCCTCTATAAGAAGGGAGACCAATACAAATTACATCTAACAATAAAGAGTCATCCAAGATTTACACTTCACACCTTTCTCCTTGTTGCCAAACTACCTCTCCCGATGCCCAACTTTCTCCCTCTTCCTGTTTTTCGTTTACCTTACGTTTCAATACTGTAACTTTCAGCCGCATTAGGTGGCTTCGGCGTGGTGCTTCCGCCACTGCGCTTTTTCAAAGGA